TCAGAGAGCTCGTCAACAGGATCAGTCTATTCAGAACTTTTACATTGAAATGACAGGTTTCTGAGATCAGTTGGGTCTCATGGAACCATCTAGCCTCAAGGCACTAAAAGCTCATGTTGAGTTTCGGTAACAAGATCATTTAATGCAGTTCTTAACGGCTCTCTCTCCTCAATATGAGGCTATCCCTGGTGGCATCCTTCATCAGTCTCCTCTTTCATCCGTGGATGCTATTGTTCGTGAGCTCCTCTCCGAGGAAACCCGTCTTAAGACGGCCAGTCAGACTCTATCTCCATCTGTCTTCTTGGCTCCTACTCAGCCTCCTCTATTGTCGACCCCACCACTTCATCAGCTTCAGGCCAATGCGAAGCCCAAGAAGGGGCCACTAGTCTCTAATGAGTGTATTTTTTGTCATCAGAAGAGCCATTAGAAGTACAACTGTCCCAAGAAGAGACGTCAGTCTACTCAGTCTTCTCAACCGCCTCAGACATAGTTCCGAGGCCCTGCTTCAAGTACTTTTCGACCTCCTGCTGCTTATACTGCATCTGCTCCGGCTTTTGATCCTAACTTGGCTTCCTTAAGTACCCAGATTGCTCAGCTTCAGCATCTTTGGTCCACCTCCCAGCCATCCCCATTTGCCTCTGCTCTCACCTCTCTTCATTCAAGTTTGTTTGGGTCCTCTTCAGGTATCTCATCTTCTGTTTGGCTTTTTGACTCCAGTGCCTCTCATTATATGATTCCTTACCTTCCCTTCAAAACTATATCCCTTTCCCTCTCCTATTACTGTTAATATTGCTAATGGGTCTGGTATGCTTATTCTATCTACAGGGTCTGTCTTCCCCTCTATCATGTCTGTTGTTTCTATTCTCTTTGTTCTTTATGTTCCTCAGCTATCTGTCAATTTATTATTTATCAGTCAACTTGATACTTTGGGTTTTGATGTTATATTTTCCTTTTCTGTTTGTTATGTGTAGGATCGGGCGTTCAAGAAGCAGATTGGGACCGACCATAGAGTTTGAGATCTTTATGTGGTAGAAAGCTTGCATCTTCCTCTATCCACCTCTCCAGTTGCCTTTTCCTCATTTCAATTAGATTCTCAATTGAGTCAGTTTTAATTATGGCATTCTTGCCTGGGTCATTTGTCTGTTGATTGTTTACGATCTTTAGCTCAGTCAGAGTTATTAGACAAAGTTTATCCCAGTTAAATTGATGAATGTCGGGGTGTAAACTTGTTAAAATGTCAACTTTACCATTTAATAAAAGTACTTCTGTTTCTGTTTCTGTTTCTCTATTTTCTCTTGTGCATATGTCTAGCGACCCTCTCATGTTCTCGCTAAAGTGGGTTCCGCATACTATGTGTCTTTTGTTGATGATTGCACCCATTATACTTGGGTTTATCTTATGACTCATAAATCTGACTTCTACCAAATATATCGTATATTTCAGTCTATGATCACTACACAGTTTGGGGCTACCATTAAACTATTACGATCTAACTTGGGTGGAAAATATTTTAAAACTAAGTTCTGTGAGTATTTAGCCAATTTGGGTACTATTCACCAAACCTTCTATATTGATACACCCGCCCAAAATAGTCGCGCTGAGCATAAACACCGTCATCTCCTTGAAACAGCTAGGTCTCTCCTCTCTGCCTCTATTTCGGCTCCTTTTTGGGGTGAAGCAATTCTCACTGCTGCTTTTTTTCTAAACCGTATGCGTACTCCCCTACTCTCTGGTCGTTCTCCTTATGAGGCTTTGTTCTTTCAACTTCCTAATTACTTCCTCTTGCATGATTTTCGGTTTGCTTGTTTTGTCCTTCTTTCCCGTAAAGATAAGACCAAACTTAGTGCCTGGTCTGTTCTGTGTGTCTTTTTAGGCTACAGTCTTACCCAGAAAGGCTATCGTTGTTAGGACCCTATTTCTCGTCGCTTTTATGTCTCCCGCCATGTTACCTTTCTCGAACGTCTGCCTTACTTTCAACTCCTCCCTATCAATGCTCCAGTTTCCAAAGAGGATTTGGTTCATATTGATCAATTTCCTTCTAAAGTCCCTTCGGATAAGTACATCTCTACTGTTTCCCATGAGCTTGTTCCCTCTTCCACTCCTAGCTAAGTCCCTCTCCACTGACCCCCATGAGTCTGCTCCCTCTTCTCTTCCTCCGCTTTCTCCTTCCCCTTCCCCCCTAGCTCCATCTCCGTCTCCTCCTCCGCTGTTAGTCTATTTTCATCGCAAAGCTCTCCCTCTACCAGTTGTCTTTGCCCCTACTGCCGATCATCCTGCCTCTGATAACTCTGATCTTGTCAACCATAAGTATCCCCTTCGCATTCATAAACAGACAGACAAACTTGGTTTTGCTAAAACATGTTTTTTTTCCTTCATATTGCACCTTTTTATCTGTTATTCACTCTTTTCCACAACCTCAGTCTTACAAGAAAGCCTATTAGGATCCTAATTGGATTAGAGCTATGGAGGATGAGTTGTGTGCCTTGCAGAAGACTACTACTTGGGAGCCGGTTCCTTTGCCTGCTGGCAAGAATCTGATTGGTTGCAAATGGGTCTAGAAAGTCAAGATTCAGTCTAATGGTTCTCTTAAATGCTACAAAGTTCGCCTGGTTATAAAAGGTTTCTCACAAGAGTATGGTGTTAATTATAAGGAGACATTTGTCCCTGTTGCCAAAATGACTACTGTCTATACTTTGATCTATGTCGCTGTTGTACATCCTCCCCCTGGCCTTCCTCATTCCTCTAGACAGGTTTGTCGTCTGCGGCTTACTCTGTATGGTTTGAAACAATTTCCTCGTGCTTGATAAAATCGTTTTCAAACAGTTGTTACTGAGCTTGGGTTTCATCCTTGTGCCTATGACTCCTCTTTGTTTCTCCTTCACATATCTACTAGTTTTGTTGCCTTATTACTGTATGTAGATGATATGATCATCACTAGCTCTGCATGTTCTGCTATCTCTGAGGTCAAACAACATCTTTTTTACACCTTTAAAATGAAGGATCTAGGCCCATTGTAGTATTTCCTTAGTATTGAGGTCTCTTCTTCTCCCAAGGGCTACTTTTTGTCTCAAGCCAAGTATGCCAATGAGGTTATTCATTGGGTTGGTCTTACTGACACTAAAATTTCTGATACCCCCATTGAACTTAATGTAAAGCTCAACGCTACTGATGGTGTTTCTCTAGATGATCCTACTTTATATCAAGAACTTGTGGGTTGCTTAGTCTATTTGACGGTCACTCGTCTTGATCTTGCCTATGTTGTTCATGTGGTTAATCAGTTTGTTTCTGCTCCTCGTTCTACACATTGGATTACTTTGGTTCGAATTATTCGCTATCTTTGGGGTACTATATTTCTGGGTTTTCAGTTGTCTTCTACTTCCTCGTTAGACTTGGTGACTTATGCTGATTGTGATTGGGTTTGTAATGTCGCTAATCACAAGTCCACGTCTGATTTTTGTACGTTTCTTGGCGATTCCTTGATCTCTTGGAAAAGTAAAAAACAAACTGTTATTGCTCGCACTAGTGCCGAAGCTGAGTACCGTGCTATGGCTCAGGCTACTACTGAGATTGTTTGGCTTTGTTTTCTTTTATCTGATTTGGGTATACATCAGTCTTCTCCAACCTCTCTCTATTGCAACAACCACAGTGTTATTCAGATTGCCTATAACACGGTCTTCCATGAGCAGACGAAATATATTGAGATTGATTGTCACTTTGTAAGTTAGCATTTGCAATCTGGTTCTATTTCACATCCTTTCGTCTCTTCGACTCTGTAACTTGCTGACTTTTTCACTAAGACTCACACCACTGTTCGATTTCAGTTTTTTCTCGACAAACTCTCAGTGTTTTCTACTAAAACACCTATTTGAGCGAGGGTGTGAGAATATTAAATTTTATGTATATATGGTAGCATATATATTTTGTATATATTAGGAATTGAGTGAATAATTCGTGTTTTCTTTTTCGTTCTAGGGTTAAATTGTTATATAAAACAATGTAATCTTGTATTAAAACAATTTGAATATACAGATTATTATTCAGAAATTTTACACTTACACGTGTCACCTATATGCGCATCTATCTATTCAAATTTCCCATTAACTATACACGTGTCACCTATCTATTCAACATCACCTATGTGTCTGTGAGAATAATATTATGTGAAAAACAATATTCACATAATGTATATTATACTAATATTATTCTCACACTGTCCATGTCCACCTCACTGCCATTAATTGCCGCTACCGGCCGCCAGTGATTTTTCCGGCACTAAAAAATTCTTCGGCAACTTTTAGTGTTCTTATCACTAAAAAAATATTAAACCTTGAACTAAATAACATATGTCTCCATAAAAATAGATTTTGCACCAATTAAACCTATAAATTTTGGGGATGTAGTGTGATTGTTTGCTAATATATATTATTTTATCCCTAAAACAAATGGTCTCAAACCCTTGACATACTTGGTTGACAAGTAACTTACGTACCCACCTGAAATATAAAACTAGTGGCGTATATAGTTTATAATTTGCATTTAAGGTGACTAATATTTATACACTTAAGGACCCAATCAAGTTTGTGCTAGTCAATATATATGTATATATATTTTGTCATGTAGCACATGACACGTGTGAAATGCAATAATAATTTTAATTTTCCTTTTTTTTATAATCATTTTATCTCTTAACATTTATACTCACTATGACCCCACAAAATCGTAGTTCCATGATATCATATCATACAATTACTTACCAACCCCAACAAATCAAATTAAGCATAACAAAACAGAAAAACAATACATTGTTTTTAGAAATTTTTTTTTTTAAATCAACTATTTTTTTTAAAAAACTAAAAAAATTAAAATAAAAATAAAAATGGTGACTTGTTTGAAAATTTCATTATTCTTCCTTAAAAAACAAAAAACACAAATAAACAAATCCAATGAACCAATAAATTCATGTGTAAATATATATATAATTAAATCAAATAAAATTGAACCTCGGGTGTGAAGCTGTAAGGATAAATGGTTCGGGCTCGGAGCTCCGAAGCAACGGCATCCCAGGCTTGGGTCCCGTGGCGGAGAACGGCGCCGCCGAGGATGAGCTCCTCCCACGTCCCCCACCTCCCGCTCCCTCTCCCCCTCCGTGCCAGTACTACCATCCTCCAACCTCCACGTGTACGGCCACGATCACGTTAGCAGACTCAAAAATGTTTTTTTAAAAAAAACCCTGTTTGGTTGCAGAGAAAAGAACAAAAAAGCCCAGAAACCCAGAAATTAAAGGTAGAAATGGGGTGTTTTGGAGGTATTGGGGATGTGGATAGGAGAGAGAAAGGTGGTATTGAGGGTGGTTTTGTTTTGGGATTTTATATTTAAATAATAATTATTATTTTTTTTAAAAAAAAAACCCAGTTTGGTCGCAGAGAAAATTACCAGAGAAGAACAGAAAGCCTAGAAATTAAAGGTGGAAATGGGTCGAATGGCGGCTCAGGAGATGTGAGTAGAGAGAGAAGGGTTGTATTGGAATAAAAAAGGTGGTATTGAGGGTGGTTTTGGGTTTTTATTTTTTCCTTTTTTTTTTTTTGAAAATGATATATAAGGTATGCGTGAGAAAAGGGGTTGACAGATTCTATTAACTAGTCAGGTCTTTGTAAAAATCAAAGATGGAGGAGGAGAAGAAGAAGAACAAGTGTGATTGATGATGGGTATGGAGAGAGAGAGAGAGAGAAACATGAGCGATGTTGAAAGACAGAGACACACATTTGGGTTTTGATTTTCCTGGAAAAGCTCTATTTGTTTCTCGCTCTACCTGTTTGTTTATCTTCGCAACGCCAATTGCCTTTTTGTGACCTTTTTTATTTGCACATTTGCCCCTTTTAGATATTAATAATTGAAAAACTAAAAAGAAAAATACTATATGATCTCAAATAATTTATTTAATTTTTTTATTAATTATGTGTTTGATTAGAAGATTTGAAAATAAAGAAAGAAAAAGTATGTGAAATTAGATAAAATATAGACATATTTTATTCACATTTTACCTACTTTTTTTCTTTACCCTCCTAAATCTCTCAATCAAACTCAATATAAATATCTCATATGGATATGAGATCCACATAAATTCACATGTATGTGGCTCTTACCCTCCTAAATCTCTCAACCAAACTCAATATAAATATCTCACATGGATATAGGATCCACATAAATTCGCATGTGTGTGGATCTCATATTTATATGAGAGGCTTGATAAAAATTTTAATAAATTACTTGATATCCTATCATAATTAAACTAAAAATGGACTTACCTGTGATTTATAAAGGTATTGTTTGAATTTGTGAAATTTATTATGAGTTCTGTTGTTATTTTTTAGAACTCTTGATATATAATATTCATACACAAAAATAGGTTCTTTTAAAAAAAAGGATAATTTTTTTTTTTTTAAAAGAGACATCTATTTGTTTATAACAAATGTAATAACATAAAAAAATATTACAATTATTGTATTGATTTAATTTGTTTCATAAATGTTATACATAAAGGACCGTATACAATGAATGATTTAGATTATTGAATTGAGATCTATAGTAGACTCGGCAAATCCAAATAATGCCGTGTAATTAAGATTATGAATCGGAAGAAATTATGATTCAAATATTAACCATTCAAACAATTAATTTTTATTCTGATATTCAAATAATTAATTTTTGCTTAATAATTAATATTTAAATTAAAAGAATATTAACAAATAGAAGTTTAATCATATTCTCAAATATATTCTTCTAATTTAGGATAATGACATGCACGTCCCTAATGCGAGTAGTTAGTTGGCGTTAAGAAAACAATTCATGGCTTCGTTTGGAAAGAAGGGCTGGGTTGGGTTAGATTAGGGGCTATGTAGTCATAAAAAAAATAAAATAGACTTTTTAATTTAATAAGACAAAATATCACATTCAACCTATAATCATTATATTCTTTCTCTTACAAAAAGTTTAAAAAAAAAATCAAAAAATTCTTCCAAAACAAGACTTTTTAACCTCAGACTAAAATAGCCTAAAAGCTAAAAAGCCAACCCAATTCTCAAACGAACCCCTAGATAGACACATTGCCTCACTTGATAATTTTTCCTTGGGTTAACATTTTATTCTATTTTCTATTTTCAATTAATTTCTCCGCCTTAGGGAAAATACATATAGGTGGAAGAAGAGAAAAAAAATTAATAACATGAAATTGGTACTTCCACAATTTTTTCATTTACACCCCACTACAGATATACTTACACTCCTCGTGCATTAGTAATTTTTTCTTCTCCTCTCACCTACACCTACACGTAATTTCCTCTTTGTGTTAGCAACCCATCAAAACTTTTTGATTTCTTTTATTTGTTGAGGAACCTTCAATTCTCAAATTGTATAAAAACATTTGCATAATCATGTAAAAATATCAAAATATTTTGTGCCCTCAAAATTTGAACTTTATGACGTGTTTGGAAAGTTGATATTTTAGTTGGTTATTTAACTTTTTTATTTTTTTATTTTGGCTAAACTAGTTGTGTTTGAGAAAATAATTAGATTTTTTTGTAGTTAATTTGATAATTATGAGAAAAAAATAAAATAATTATGACTTAAATGTGACATTTTATCTTATTAACTATTTTACCTTATTTTGCCTTTTAATAAACTACATTAGCCCAACGTTCTTCCCAAACAACCCCATGTCTCAAAGTATTTTTAACAGTGTAATCAGGTAAAAATAGCAAGATATCTTCTATCCTTAAATCTTTAACTTTTTGTTCCCAAATATTCGTAATAATGTGACTATGTAAAAATTTCAAAATATGACAATTTTGAGGCATTATATAATAGAAAATATATTTAAATAGAAAGAAAAAATAATAAAAATACACTTATTTGGTTCTAATTTTCAAATTTCAATTTTCTAAAAATTAAATTTTTTGTTTTTCGTATTTTTTTGGTTTTTTGTGAATTTTTTAATATTTTAAATAATTTTTTTACTTTTTAGATACACCTAGATGTACTTAAAAAGTAAAATATTTGTAAAAACATATTTAACAAAAAACAATAAATGCACAAGAATATGAACATATATTGAATTTTTGGATTTTTTTATATTTTTGGTATTTAGTGAATTTTTAAAAATATTTTTCACAAATGTTATATTTTTTAATTATATTTAAATTAAGTGTATTTAAAAAGTAAAAAAATGCTTAAAATAGTAAAAAAAGAATCACTAAAAAAACAAAAAATAAAAACTCAACTTTTAAAATATTAAATTTAAAAAATTAGAACCAAACAAGATATGGAGAGGGAGATGGAAGAAGAGATTTCAAAAATTCAATGGCGAGTTGATGAGCACAACTTAACTAAATGTTAATTCATGGTAAAAAAATGAGGTCAAGAGCCTCTCTCTCTCTAGGTGATTTCTGGTAATACTTCGGTAATAATTTGGCGACATTTTGGCGACCTATTTTACACTTCTAAAGTGTAGATCTACACTCCTAGAATACAGATCTACAATTTTAAAATGTAGATCTGAACTTTTTATGTCTGAAATAGAGGTTTTGAAAGTTTTTTTCTCCGATTTCGACATAAATTTTTGAATTTTCGACACCAACAATGGTTCCTTCCTCTCTCAAGCCTTGTCTCATATCACTGTGAGTGTACTTCCTTCTTCGGTAGTAGTGGCGATAGAGTTGGGCAGTAGCGACGGGAACGATGTCGACAAGAACGGCGAGCTTTCAAGCAAGTCTTATTTCCCAGACCACATCTTTGAGCAGATCGATAGTTTTTCCTAAATCGTAACTTTTTTTTTGACAAATTTATTTTTTGTTGTTTGGTTGAAATAACCCTTTAGAGTCTTATTTATGTACCGTTATTGTTTTATTAATATAATATTTCCCATGTTCTCAAAGAAAAAACTAAAATGTTATGTGCCATAAATATATATTTTTTCATTTTAACTAGAGTTTATCTCACTTGAAAGCCCTGGAAAAGAGAAAAAACTAAAATGTTATGTGCCATAAATATATATTTTTTCATTTTAACTAGAGTTTATCTCACTTGAAAGCCCTGGAAAAAATAATAATAAAATCAATGCTGATTGAATTTTAGTTTTTTTTTTTTTTTGATAAAAAAATGTTGATTAAATTTGACGATAAGGAGAAATAGGATCATTATAGAATACGCACCCTCAAAATGATGTTTATTATGTACAAATTATGACATTTGTGTGTGTTAATTATCACAAATATTATAACTAGATCACTTTCACTTATAATTAAAAAAATATAATGAGTCATAATTAAACAACACATAAGGTATAATTAAATACATTTTCGATCATGATTAAAATAATAATCATAATAGATTATAATTAATATCACAATGGGTCACAACCAAATATCACAAACGTCATAACTAAGTATATGATACATTTAGAGTGTGTATTATAGAATTTTTTGGCAAAATATTTGTTAAAAAATTGAATTTTAGGTCAAACCAAACAAAGTTTAATTAATCAATAAGAAACAAAAAGGGAAAAAAATCTTAAAAAGTCAAAAACGAAAAGAAATATTTATTGATCGAAATACAAGCGACATTTGAAAAGATATTTTATCAGATTGTAGAGATGATGCTCATTACTCCAATCAAATTGAGGATTCAAATAAATACAAGTGACATTTAAAAAAGATTTTTATCAGATTGTAGAGATGAGACTCATTACTTGAGTCGACTTGAAGATTCTATTCCCAATAATTCCTTTTGTTAGAGAAATAAAAGACCCCACAAGCATATAGTAATATCGATTTAATTCAATAAAAAAAAATTTAAATCTACAAACGTCACTCCAAAATTCAACATATATTATTTAAAATTTATATCCACTTAAAAATTTAAACCTTACAAGTGAAGAATTCATATATATATATATATATATATGTATATTAAAATTCGTGCCTTTCTTTATCCAACGTAGAGTTCTATCCTCGCACACCTTTTCTCCTCTAATAAATTTGGTAAATATATATGTTGACCTCTTTCTATGTACTCAAAAAGGTTTTAATGATAGTTCTACTCGATTAAAGGGAATTAAATATGGATATTAAATTATATACATTTTGTTGTTTCACAAACAAGAAATTAATTAATTCAATGACATGTAACTAGATATATTTTTTGAGTTAATTATTTAATAGTCTTATTTATAAATATTATGATAATTCAGGACTATTTAAGATTTTTTGAATCAATAAATCCTATTTAATAGTGAGAATATTATCAATTTTTCTCAATTTTTAAAACTAAGAACATTATCAATTTTACATTATAATGTTTCAGATAATTATTTTACTAACTAATGAAAAAAGCAAAGTATGAGAATAAACGTTTTTGCCCTTTTACTTATTGAGTTGATTCAACTATCCAATAAAACCGATAACATTATCAAATTTTTTTAGTTTTGAAACTCAGAACATTATCAATTTTGTATTTTAATTTTTTTTTTTTAAATTTTGCACATCAACGTTCCAGCATCATGCTCCTATATAGACACACAATTTTCAGTTTTGCACAAAAAAATAATTCAGCTTTATCAATTCTTTCCAAAAAAAAATATTTCAGTATACTTGATTTCAATTTTCTGAATTTAGTTTTCTGAATTTGGAGTGTGTATTATAGAATTTTTTGGCAAAATATTTGTTAAAAAATTGATTTTTAGGTCAAACCAAATAAAGCTTAATTAGTCAATAAGAAACGAAAAGAGAAAAAAAATCTTAAAAAGTTAGAAACGAAGAGAAGTATTTATTGATC